GGCGGCAGCTGCAGCAGCTCCAGCAGCTCCTCTTCCTCAGCATCCTCTTCACCGTCCTCCCTGGGGCCCGAGCTGGACAAGGCCAAGATAATGAAACAGCAAGACACCGTAAGAATACCGCGTCTCTATCCACCTCTCAGTGCGCGGGGATGGGGGTGGGGGTGACCGGGGACACGAGAGACTGCTGAACCCCAATATGCCATATGTGTAAAATAAGTTGAAGATGTTTTCTAAGGCCCTCCCCTGAGTCTATTCTGACTCCCAAGTGACCATTTAAAAGTCATTAGACTTATTTTCTCCTGGAAATATCTTTGCCCAGGCTTTGAGACCTTGGCTACAATGTTTGTTGTGTTTAGGTTTTTGTTCCGTGGTTTAGAAGAACGGGGAAGGGAAGGGAAAGAAACTGGCCCATTTATGGGTGTGGTGTACTTTGGTTGTTTTCAAGTTTGTCATCAAGGGGTCGACCAAAGCTAAACTTCTGTATGGTTGACACCTCTTAAGCATACAGAGCAACAGTAGCCTGTAAACTGTTATGTGTGGATTTCCCACCCCACCCCCCAAGCCTCTCAGAGTTACAGCACAGCTCACCAAGATGACAGGGCTTCCATTCATTCTGTGGATGTTTGCTGTGCTATAGAATAAGGGCCAGGCACTGCTGAGAGGGCCGGCACAGTCTATAACAAGGAAATGCCCTTACGGAAATGGCAGATCAGGAGAGAAGAAAGTGTTTCCTGCATCTTGGTCACCAGAGGGCTTCTGGGTGCTGTCCAGTGTGGGAAAGGTAAGGGGAGAAGTGGGCCTGTGAGACTGCTCTCCATCCTTGCTGGGCCGAGCTGAGCTTTCTGCCCTGTGAGAAATGGGGAGAGAAGAGCTCCCAACCAGATTTTAGGTTTCAGCCCGAGCAACCCCTTCCTGGTGAGGGGCTTTGATTCCCTCTTGGCTTTCAACAAGCTGCCTACCTAGACTGCCAGAAACTCGTGCCATATGTGAGGTGGCTTATAATGGGTGCCTCTGTTCACCGCTCCATTCAAGAGTTTACAGAGATGTTTAGTGTGCCTGTCCTGTTTGCCAGGCACTGAGCAGAGCCATGGAAAGACAGATGTGGAAGCATCTCACGTATATCTGGGTGGTATGCCTCACTGTTGGGCAAGGACTGGGTGTCACATCCTGTCTTCCTTGCTGTGTCTGAGTTACAGCATGAGGAGCAGGGGTATCAAGGGATGGAGTGAGTGGCAATCACAGTTCCCTGTTGTGGGTGTCACTTTTGGGTGGTTGACATTTCTTAGGCTGTCTTCTCCAAAGCATCGGATTCTTCCAGTCAGTTCCAGTCTCTTCACTTCTCCCTTGACTGTCTGAATTCTTTCCTCGTGCTCCTGTAGAACTTGGTGAGCTTTCTAGAGAATGTTCTGCCAGAGACTGTGGAGCAGGGCTCTGGCTTCATCCCTGAGAAGGGTTCTCGCCCCTGGCAGTGTCACCCAGCTGCTACAGAACAGAACTGCTGTGCACAGAGCTTCGCCATGCACACTGTGGTTTTGGAATGTTGGATGCTCTTGGGCACAATTACTGTCAAAATTCTGTTTCGTAGCTGGTGAATCACTATCCCTGAGAACTGCAGTGCTGCTCAGTGCTAACCTGAGAAGCCTGTCTCTTTGAGACTCGTAAAAATTCCATGAGGCCAGGAAGCAGGTCTTGGATTGATTTTGACCTAACTCAGAGCCGTGAGGTGACTGGTTCGCTGGAACTATGTTGCTGAGCTGACAGGAGACTCAGAGATGTCACTATGTGGTAGGACAATTACCTTTTTGTGCACTGAAGCCACAGATACCCTCCACTTCCCACCCTGCCACCTTCTAACTACAAACAAGAGTTTAGGTAAATTGTCACAAATCAAGTACAAAAAACAACTTTGTTTGACAGAGCTACATGATCAAGTACAAAAGCTTTCAGAACTAATGAGAGATGTTGACTCCTTGGACCTGTAGGAGATTTCATAACTGTCTTGATGCTGTTGTCATTTTCGTATCTGGGAATTCTTATCAACTGTCCTTTCTTATTGGACAGGTCATCATTTTAGAAGACTATGCTGACCCCTATGATGCCAAACGGACAAAAGGTCAAAGGGATGCAGAGAGAGTGGGTGAGAATGATGGCTACATGGAACCCTACGATGCACAGCAAATGATAACAGGTTTGTGACTGGGTTCTGCTTAGTGAAGACAGAAATATCATCCTCATTTTGAGTGTTAGAGAATGGTAATCCCAGTACTGGAGAGGCAGAGGCAGGAGGATTTCTGTGAGTTCAAGGCCAGCCTGGTCTACATAGTGAATATCAGAACAGTCAGGGTTATGTAGAGAGACCCTGTCTCAAAAAATTAAAATTAAAAAAAAACAAAACAACAACAACAAAAACAACCTAGAGAAACAGAGATAGATGATAGGTAGGTAGGTAAGTAGATAGCTAGATGGATGGATGGATAGATAGATAGATAGATAGATAGATAGATAGATAGATAGATGTTTGGGGAACAGAGCAATTTAAACAGATCCTGCTGACTGGAAGAAACAGATCTTAAAGTGAAACTTTCTGAATGTCTCTTATTATCCTTCAGAGTTTTAAGAATTTGAAGAGTTTTGTTTTTAAGTTTTCTAATTTTGTGCAAGATGGCATTTGAGAATCTGCTCAAACCTTTAATCCCAGCACTCCAGAGGCAGAGGTAGGTAGATCTCCGTGAGACCAGCCTGGTCTACAAAAACTAGTTCCAGTACAGCCTCCAAAGCCACAGAGAAACCCTGTCTCGAAAAACAAACAAACAAACAAAAAAGAGAATCTGCTCAATATGTAGTCCTCACCTTCTAAAAACCTGTATTATATTTTATTTTGATGCACTCATGCCAACAAGTGAGAATGGGTGTCAGAAGACAATTTGTGGAAGACAGTTCTCTCCTCTATACCTTGTGGGTCCCAGGGATCAAACTTGGCTTGTCATATCAGGTTTGACGCTGGTGCTTTTACCCCAAGCCATGTCACTGGCCTCAGTTTTTAAGATTGCTGATGCACACATCTCTGCCACACACAAGAGCACTGGCATCCATAATGGGGGTCACAAGTCAGTACAGTGGTAGAAGATTTATCTCAAGTTCTTCAACATTGAAACAAAACAATTAATTGCCGGGGGATAATTAGTTAATCACTGTCAGCCATTCCAGGCAAATCACATAAAACTAAATTAGTCTTGTTGCTTTTCAAGTCAGAGCCATTCCAGTCAGTGGGCTAAACAAACTCTTGTGAGTGTTGGTGTTAAACCTTTCCCTTTTAATCAGTTCTGGTAAGTTGGTGTAAGCAGTACTCAGAAGTTGTTCAGATTTATTGGGGGTTTTTAAAGTAAACACCCACAATGAAATCTGTGGTTGCTGAGTGCTGACTCGAGTATCCTGTTCACACACACTGTTGAAACACAATGAAGAGCTATCCAGTTCAGGCTGGGTGAGCCTGTCCCTACAGAGGAGAGCAGAGAGGTAACTGTCACACCCTGGAAAGCCAAGACAGGCAAGAACAAGGGAGCTACAGGAAAGCTCGGCTCTGTTTCCTGCTTCCCTGCTCACAGAGATAAGGTACCACTCTGGGGAGGGTGTGCCCTGGCCAGGCTGTGACCCTGCAGGTCACTGGACTGTGGCCCCTAATGAAATCTGTGAATGAAAGGAAGTGAAAACGAAATTAGTCACTTTTACAAAATATCAGTGGTTTAAAGGAGTGAGGGAAAGGATTGACTTTTACATATAGCCAAGAAAAAAGTGGGGTTTTTTCTTTTTATTTATTTTTAGAATTTCATACCTAAGAAATATGCATAACTACATAAATATGATATGTGTAAAGCCAATTAGTGTTTGCCACATGCACGCGGCTGACCACTGGGACAAGGGCATCCTACCAGGGGCTTGTCCCTGCTGGAACTCGCTCTCCCTCTTTCAGCAGCCATGAATTTTCTGTAGCTTCTCAACTTATAGGGTTAGGGATGATTATAAACCCTTCTCCCACACATGCTGATGTTTGCTAATGTGGACAGCCACAGCTGCTAAGAGCTGGAGGGTCAGTTCCTCTTCCGGGCTCAGGGTCAAGAAGACATTGTTACAACACTCCTCCTGGTCCTCCGGCTCTTACAGTCTTTCCTCCCCTTCTTCAACAGTGTTCCTGGAGCCTTGACTGTGGCAGTTGTGTTATAGATGCCCATTGGGGGATGGGTATTCCACAGACACTTATTCTCTGTGTTTTTACCAGTTGTGGTTCTCTGTAGTAACCTCCACTGGCTGCAAAATGTAGCTTCTTTATCAGGGTGGTGGTGGCTCACACCTTTAATCCCAGCTCTTGGGAGGCAGAAGCAGGTGGATTTTTGAGTTTGAAGCCAGCCTGATCTACAGAGCAAGTTCCAGGACAGCCAAGGCTACACAGAGAAACCCTGTCTTGAAAATACCGCTACCCCCCTCCCAAAAGAAAAGTAGCTTCTTTGGAGGGAGTAAGAAGTGCACCAATCAAGACAACCTGGGAGTACAACGCTCCCCCTCTAATGCCCCCTGCCACCCCGATGCTGGGGATTGAAACCAGAATTTTGAGCATGGTAAATCAGCCTTTGCAACTGAACTGTATCCCCAGTCCCATTTTCTTTGTTTAATCACAAAAGCTCTCTAGAGGGACTAACCATTTCCCTGTTGTCACTAGGTAAAAATAAGCTTAGAGGACTTGCATGACTTTATTTGGTGGGTGGGTCAGACGCTTGCCACAGTTCCTGTGTGGAAGACAGAGGGCAACCAGTAGGAATTAGTCCTCTCCTTCTACCATCTAGGTGTTAGGATAAAGTGTGATGAACCTTGGCGGAGTCCATGGCAGGTGAGGGTGACCTAGGCAGAGAGACAAACATGCCAGGCAGACAGAGTTTAGTGAGAAGTTTTATTAGAAAGGGAAAGTGTCGGGGGGGGGGTGTAAAGAGACAGAGAGAGGACAAAAGAGAAGAGGGAGACAGGAAAAGCCCTGTCTGCCCCAGGGGAACAGCGGGAAAGAGAGAGCAGAAAAAGAGCAAGAAAGAAAGAGAGGGAAAGAGAGGAGTCTGAAACAGAGTGTAAATGGGCAGAGATCTTTCTTTTACACGGGTCCTTTGCACCTGGGTTGACCAGGATACCACCTGAGTGCATTCTGCCAGATGCCAGGGGCAGGCCAGCATAATGCCCGAATCCTTACAGTAGGTTCTGGGAATTGAATTCAGGTCAATTGGGAGCATTCGCCTTTACCTGCCAAGCCATTGAGACGCACACATACTTTTTTTTTTTCCCAAATGTTTTTGTTGTTGTTGTTGTTGTTGTTGTTGTTTTAAGAGACAAAGTCTGCTTACTATGGTTTTTAAACGTGTTTGTTTGTTTTTCAAGACAAGGTTTCTCTGTCTGGCCCTGGCTGCCCTGGAACTCGCTCTGTAGACCAGGCTGGCCCACAACTCAGAGGTCTGCCTGCCACTTCCTCCCAAGTGCTAGGATTAAAGGTGTGTGCCACCACCCTTGGCAAGGTCTGTTCCCTAAGAAACCCAGGCTAGACTTTTGCATCTGACTCCCAAATCCTGGGATTACAGGCATGAGCCTCTCTGCCTACTGTTTTGGTTCTTACTGGGTTTTGTTCATTTGTTTGTTTGAGAAAGGGTCTTGCTGTGTATTGATGTTGTCCATGAACTCACTGCTCTCTGCCTTCCTCAGCCTCCCAGATGCTGAGACTACAGTTTCTCACCTGGCTTCACAAGATATTTTCGGAATAGATGAAGACTTTGAGTTGAGAGCTGCCAGTTCAAAATGAGTGTTCTGTCCTCAGTGCCACATGGCCCTGAAAAACATAATGCCTGCAAAGGCTTTGCAGACTCCCCCAAGCTAGGTGGTCTCTCTGCTCAGATTCATGTGATATGCCAAAGTCAAAATTGAGCCTGGGCTAGTGCCATGTACCCTAACTCAAGAGTCTAAGACAGGAGGATATTGAATCCAAGGCCAGCCTTGGCTATACATGGAGTCCTTATTCCCCTACCCACATACCAAAGAAGCTTAAAATGTCCAATATGAGATAATTATAACAAGCTGTGCATGATGGCACACACCTTTAATCAAAGCACTTGAGAGGCAGAGCTACACTGATCTCTGTGAGTTCAAGAAGACCTACCTAGGCTACAAAGAAAGTTCTAGGTCAATCGGGGCCACATAATGAGACCCTATCTCAAAAAAAAAATGATTAATATAAGAATATTTAGAGCCGGTTGATGGTGGGGTATGCCTTTAATCCCAGTGCTCAGGAGGCAGAGGCAGACAGATCTCTGTGAGTTCGAGGCCAGCCTGGTCTACAGAGTGAGTTCCAGGACAGCCAGAGCTATACAGAGAAACCCTGTCTCATAAAAACAAAAATAAAATAATTTAGTGTTTAATATTTGAGTATTAAGTTCTTTGCTTTGTCTTAAACAGTGTGAATAAATATAAAATTAATATATTCAGTGGTAATTTATTTCAAATTTATTAATAATGTAAATTACTAATGCTTAACAAGGTGTGGTGGTACAGGCCTATAATTCCAGCATTTAGGATGATCAGTGTTAAAGACCACCCTGTATTACATTTGGAGTTCTGGTCCAGACAGTGAGACCCTGTCTCAAAGACACAAAGTTTAAATTACTCATTTTAAAAATAAGTAATCTAAGAACACATTGCTTTTCTCATAACAAAAATCTTTGTGTTAGTTTAGCTTAATGTTTCTTCTTTTAAAATACATACTATATATACTATATACATTCATCACAAAGATGGGGTCTCACCATGTAGACCAGGCTGTCCTGGAACTCAATCTGTAGACCAGGCTGGCTTCCAACTCACAGAGATCCAATTGTCTCTGCCTCCCAGCTCTGGGATCAAAGGCATTCGCCACCACTGCCCACCTTCCCCCTGAAAACTTTTACCTTGCAGAATTTAAGAATTTAGAAATGAATTCTCCTTGGGATTTATCTAAAGGATTGCTAATAAAAAATTCAGGACTGGGTACAGGAAGTATGGTTAGCATGAATCTGTCACTTTTCTGCTAAATTACAGGAGTATTTTCCCTGAGCAACTGATACAAGTATTCTATGTAATTTAGTAATGTGACTTTTAGCCACAAAATTGAAAGTTACACAGTAGGTG